GGGGCTCTTCCTGTGCTTCCGAGGTGACTCCCACTTGTCTACGCAGTGCACTGGCAGAACGGCCCAATCTTCTCCATGGGTGTTTCCCGAGCCCTGTTTACTTGGTCCCACCCATCATGGTGAGAATTACAAAGGCGTGGGTAGACAAACCAGCCTCAAAGACCCCTTCCCTGCCGACCCGCGCCACCTGTGGGCTTCTAACACTCTCCATGGACTTAGAAAGCCCTTCCTTTCCGCCCTAGGACGACTGGTGGCGTTGACTCGTGACCTCAACATGTAAGCACTAGGTCAGGGCTCCTGCTCGTGTTTCTTTGTGGAATTCCATGGCAGCGCTGACGGGCCGTGGCTGTGCCGAGGCGGTTGCCACGCTCACCCTTCCCCGTCACCACTGGGTCCCTCTGCTCACGAGCTCCGAGTGCGCCCCCCTACCTCCCCCCACCCCTCCCCATGGAAACAACGCTGCACTTCTCAAAATGGTAACGCCATCCCTCCTGCCCACCACACGGGCTCCCCTGAACGGACCCTTTGCTCGGTGCTCGCCTGCCTGCCCCGTCCACGCCTTTGCTTAAAACCAGTTGCACCCAGTCAATCCCAAACCCCGCGTATGTCACAGGAGAACCGTGCTCCACAGCGTTTTCAATGGCAGACCGCCTGGCCTTTCTTCTGCTGTGTCTCCAAGTGAGCTAGCTCAGACCTCCAGCAAGGCACACCGATGTGCCCCATCCAGGGACACTGCAGGAGTGGATGCCCAAAATCAACCCCGCCGCTTAGCGGCTCCACAGGACAGAGGAGCTGCCTAGAGGTTTGCCCCATGAGCAGTTTCACTGCAGATGTTTGTGCTTCCTGGGCTGTGTACTCCATACCTGTCGGGCTGCAGATGTGCAAAGAAGCCTTGGTTCTGCTGGAAGGGGCTGTGGGGCTGGGAGAGAGACAGCTGCCCACCAGACCTAGGTACACAATCTTCAAGGGGGTGAAAATGGTGGAATTGTTCCCTGCAGGCTAGTAAGCAAGCCCACGTGAGCCTGTGCTTGCCTCGCTTGCTGGATAACCTGACACGGCTCTGTCGGCTAGTGTCGGCTCGTCGACATTACTTGGAGATGGTTAGACATTTAGATTCTCGGGTCCCACTCCCAAACGAAGAAAACAATCGTACTGTCACCGAGTAGCTTCTGACTTACAGGGATCCTGAAGGACCGGGGAGGGTCCTGGGAGGGGTGGTGGCAGTCAGGGAAGGGCGACAGTCTGTAGGTGAACAAACCTTCCAGGTGATCCTGCTACATGCCAAGGATTGAGACCCACCCCCAACCAAGCCCTCTGCCTGAGTCACATCCAACTCGGAGAGGCCCTGAAGAAGAGAGGGGCGCAGCCCCATGGGGTTCCGTGGCTCCACGCCCACATCTTCCCCTCGCAGTGGGTTCCGCTGCTGCTGGGTTTGAACCACGCAGTCTTTCGGTGGCAGCGAGCGGGGCTGTGCCACTGCAGTTCCTCCAGGCTTGGCAGAGGCTTGTCTGAGGCCACACGCTCTGCTTAGAATCCCTTCTCTGCTGGTCTGTTCTCGCTACCTGCCTGAAGCCAGTCCACAGCTCCTGTTCTCTGGGAAGCCTCCCCTGCTGTGTCTTTGCCTGCCTGTTTTCTCTTAAATTCAGGTCTGGGGTGCTCGGCTGATCCCTCCAGGTGGTCCTAATTGACAAAACCCCACCACTCGTTCATGATCAAAGCACCCAATAAATTGGAGTGGAAGGGGATGTCAGCACGTGGTCAGGGCGAGCTGAGGACAATCCGTAACTGGCCTCCTTGTGGAAGACGCGTGAGGACAGGGCACTCTGACCTCCTCGTCTGACTTCCCCCGGGGAGACAGAAGCACAGTGTGTCTCATTCGCCCAAGGCTGGCCCCTCGGAGGCGGAGATCAGACACCTCCACTCTCCCACATCCTCCCGTGGTGCTCCCTCCTCCAATGGGCTCAGCAAAGCATGGCAGTAGCCACACAGAACCCACAGGCTGTACTCAGGATGGCAGGGGAGATAGCAGGATCAGAAAAGCTCAGGATGTAGTTCTTCAATCGGGACAGCCTCCACTCGGCCATGCCTGTGGGCACCCCTCTCTCCAGCCCTTGGCCCCTTTGTCCAGAGGCACCTCACTCCGCTAGTAGCCTCAGCCTGAAGGTAGGTCCTAGGTCTGGGATCAGGAAGCAAGTTGTGGTATCTCCTTCTGGTCTCTTGGTTCCACTTCTGTTGCCACCATCTCTCTACCACTGCTTCTCACCATTGCTGGCCATCACCAGTGTCACACCCACTGTTAGCTCTGTGTCTCCTGAGTCCCGGAGGTGCCCGGTGCAGGGCCCCCAAGTCCAAAGGACACGTCTCTTCTTGATGGTAACTGACCCTTCTCTTTCTGCCCCTGGAATCGCATCATAAACCTGATAGAGATGGCAAAGGTGACCACTCTACCTACCAGGGTTCCATTTGCCTTATTTGCATAGTCCCACCCATCATTCGGTGAGAGTTAAAGACTATAGCTGGAAGAGCCATATTAAGTTATTCACTGCACTGCAATGCTCAGTGTTCAAAGGCAGAAAACGTTTCCTCTAAAGATCAGGAACAAGGCAAGGATGCTATTTGACATTGTAATGAAGTTCTAGACAGAGTAGTTGGGCAAAAATAACTAGATGATAGATAGATCAATGGCATCCAATGTGGAAAGGAACAAGTAAAGCTACTCCCATTAACAGTGGGTGAGTTAGTTAATTGTGCCAACCTGGCCGATAATCA